GAGCAGGGCCTGTGCCAGGGCACAGCTGTGGGGCAGAACCCCCTGCATTTCCCTTTTGTGGGCTTGAGTTCTCATCACACACAGTGAAATGGCTCTGATCGGATGCGTTTGGTGCCACTCTGAAACAGGTGACAAGTGAGAAGTCAGGGGTCATTCTCTGCCCTCAAATAAAACAAGGAAAGTGTGACCAGTGAGCTTGAGCCATTTGGCCCAGTAAATTAAATGCTTTTGAGAAAAGCAAGTAATGCTTTTCTTCCTGTTTTTTTTTTTTTTTCCCTCCAGTTTGATCTGCTGCTGTTGGATATCTGTGTGTAAGGGCAAATGTTTATTGAAAATAAAGCAACCCCATTTCGTAAGTCAGGAATTGCTTCTGTTTAACATGCTTCTTCAAAGAACCATAATCTGTTCCTCTGCTTCTGAGTGTCTCATGCAAACAGCTGGGGTTTATCAGGGGTTTATCGGGTTAAAATTGGGGTTTATTGTAAGAGTGGGGGGCTTGGTTGTTCTTTTTCCATCAAATCCTGTTTGAGTAAAATAAAGAAAAGCTTTTAGCAGTCTATATGAATGGCCTGGTGGCAGATTAAAAGTTTATGTAGTATAATAATATAATAATTGTGGCTCCAGTATGATGTCATGATAGACAAAAATTAGTGCTCATGGAAAATAGTAGCAAGTCATAGTAGAAACTCACACTCATAAGTATTTTTTCATACTTCTGTCTCAAGCAATGATGACAACTAAAGAAGGGTAGAAAATGACAGAAACTGCATATATTTTTTTGTCTCCAAAAAGTTGATTGTACATGAAGGTTTTTTCCTACTCTGTTTTCATATTTCAGCTATGTTGGACTGAACTCTTGATGTCATGTTTGACTCTTTAAATATCAAGCAGAAAGCTCTATGGCATTAATTTTATAAATAGACCTGGTACTCAAAAATAGTCTTATTGATAATCAGCTTTGTCTGTATTAGTTCTGGAAGGATCGCTACATATTTGTGTAACTGGAAACTATCATAGATAAAATTTAACTCTTCTTGGAGCTGTTCTGTGGAACAGCATATAAATAACTAGTCAATAAGAAATGTGTGTTTTTCCTGTGTTTTCCTAGAGTTGGAATTTTGCTGTGCAGTGGGTTAAGAGAAAGCTGTGTCTTTTTTCACTAGAGATTCTCTTCATGTATTGCAGCAGTTTCATGGTTCTCCTGTAAATCGATGAGTCTGCTCTGAAATGGATTTTGCTGCCCTTCTTTTGAGTTCTTCTCCCTGGTTAAGGCACATGATGACATTCACTGTGCTTTGCTGTAATGTCACTGCTCCACAGGAGATGAGGATCCCTGTGTCTGACCTGGAGTGTCTCTGCAAAATCTGAGTTGCTAGCTAGAAATAAAGCTAGTGATTTAATTGGCATCTATAACTCTGTCATTTGTAGTCTGTCTAGCCTAATAATCTGTGAAAAAACACTATTTTAAATTGTTGGTCAAAAGGATTTCTTGTTAGGATTTTTTTAGTTTGGCATATCATTTAATTTAAAATTTTCTAAGTGCTATTTCCAAAGTTAAGGAATTGATAGGGCTTTTGGGGTTTCTTTAGGGTTTTTGTTTGTTGATGACTTAGGGCCCTAAATGGGGAATTAGGTCTTCACGGTGCTGCAGTGAGGAAATACAGAGTGTTCTGTGCCTGTGCCGTGGGTGACCCCGGCTCCAGTTGCAGCCGGGCAGGGCTCCAGCAGCGCTGCCCATCTCCAGGGCTGTGTTTGCTCTGCCTCATCCCTGGTTAAACATTGCTAGCTGGCAGCCCGGGCATACTGACTGGCTTTGCTTTTGGGGCTGGCTTGGAGTTGATAGCCTGTGGTAGCAACTAAATTTTCTTTTCCAGCTCTGTTACAGGCCCGGGGTGAAGTTGGACCTAAATTCAGAGTTAAAATTAAGTGATAAATGACAAAGGCCTAATTGGAAATCTATGGATGAGCCCATTTCCTGCCATTGACTCCAGTGCATTTCCAGGTGGACTTTAATTTGTGCCATGGAGCCTGAGGGTACCTGTGCCTGGCAGTCTGGGCTTGGGATCACACTTGCATTTTGGGAAGTGTCTGTATAGCTTTTGTACAAATTGTACCTCTGAGGAAGAAAATAATTTCTTTGTAAACTTAATCACTTAGCAGAAAGGTGGTAGTTGTTAGGGCATCTCAGAAAATAAACTTTGTTTTGCTTTTGCTTGTTATGCAGGTGCATTTGAGGGGGTTGATGTTGACCTATAAAGCCTGTTGTCCTCAGGTTTGTGCTTTGTCTTACTGCAGGGGGGATGTGCTGAAGGCTGTCTTGAGCTGTATATGTAGCACAGGTGGTAAAACCACTTTAAACTTAGTATAGAATTGAAAGAACAATGTTAATGCACAATTGCAGTGATGGATGACCTGCAGTTGAGATCTTAAACTGCTTGTTTTTTTGAATGCCTGCAGCTGGCCCTGACAGCTGCCAGAGCTCAGTTGTGGAGGGGGTTGATAATTTAGTTATTTATTTATTACTTTTTAGACCTAACTGCCAGGCTGCAGAGAGGGGGGGGAATACTGTAAAAATGTAAATATTTAAATTTCATTTCCTTCTTGGTGACTCTGCCCTCCCTCTTTCTGTTTGGGCAGGAGGATTTCAAAAGGATGAGTTGTTTCCCCAGCTGAAAGCACTTGAACATTCTGCTCTTGGGGTGTCCTCTTGCCCTTCCAACCTCAGCAGAAGCAACTCACACCTTCAGAAGTACAGCTTGGTTGCTTTGCACTTTCTGATGGGAGCAGCAGCACAGCTGCTGCTGTCTCTCTGCTGAAGGAAGATGGAAAGGGAATTAAGTAAACAAGGAATGCTCGAGTCATCTTTGAGGGCAGGAGAGTTGAGTCTACAGTTGATTTAACTTTCAGAATTACTAACTGTAGAATGGAACAGTTTATTTGTGTGGTCTTCAAAAGAGTATGTGCAAGGTGAATGATGTCCAGATTCCTCCTTGTTCAGCTGGAATGTGTGCTGAGGCTGCAGGGTGGTACCTGTGGATGCAGAGCTGCCTGGCTGGCCCTGGCACACAGTTCCCTTAGGCTCTAGTGCCTCCAGGAGTTTCCCTTGAGGAGGTGAAGCTGAGCTCAAGCCCAGCTCCTTAGGCCAGCACAGCTGTTGGTGGGGTGGAGCAGGAGGTGCCACGGTGGCTGTGGGCTCTGCACAGGGCTGTGGGGAGTGGAAACACAAGCAAACCCTTTCCCTTTGCAAGACTTCAGCAAGAGATCAAAGGCAACCCTTTAACCTTGGGAAGCATTTTTCCTACACAGACTTGGTTCCACATGTGCTGTTTCATCCCTGGTTTTGATCCAGACACTCTCTGAACTCTCTTGAAACTTTGCTCTCAGCGTGTCTTTGCTGCAGATTCCTTTCATTTTCTGGAGAACACTCCTGTGCAGTTGCCTTTGAACTATCCACATAAGGATCTATCACATAAGGAACTATCCCCCCTCTCTGCTGGCCAGAAAAACCTATGTGTTTGTATTTAAGGTGATAAAAAACCCCAACAAAATTAGGATTTTTTTTAAAAAGCGACTTTAAAATTTCATCAGTCCTATATCTACATTTATCCTTCATTCAGTACAGAGCTGAAGAGATTAGGTGCTCTATGTTGTAGCACCATAAGCTCTTATAACCAGCAATCAGTAAAACATATTTGTGCTCTTAGAAGATAATTTTTTTTTTGTGTCTGCTCTTAGTCTACATCATCTGGTACCAAAAATAACTGGCCCCATCTCAATGGCATTGCCCATCCAGTGTTTTACCACTGCAAGCTGTAGAGCTGCTGCCAGCTGTTTGTGAGAAGTTGTGTAGCCTTTGGATTGTGTTTTCAGTACTTGATTGTGGTAGGAAGTGTTGGATGGGATACACAGACACCTCTGATGGATCAATATTTTGTGTATCTAGTCTGTGCTGTATAGAGGCTGTAACTGAAGTGATTCACTTTGCACGGCAGAGTTGGAACATGCCCACAAAACGCTTTTGCAGAACACACAGAGACTCATGTAGAGTCTCATTGTTTTCCCCAGAGCATTGCAGCAGGGAGATGTGTTTTGTTCTGGTTCATCAGTCTTTTCTTTCTATTTCATGTTTGAATTCTGAGGCGTGCAAGTTGAAACTGCCACCTACAGCAGGGCTTGAGGTGCAAAGAAATTGATACTGCACATGCAGATAGGTTGGTGGTTGTATGGGGTCTTTATATACCATCATAAAATGGTATCATATGGGGTTTTTTTTTCCAATAATAAGTATGTTATAACCATCTTTGTAGAATTTCTACTCTTCTTTATTTCATTTACCACCAGATGAAGGGCTAATGTGATAAATTCTGGAAAACAGTGAGGATTTTTACCTGCTGGAAATGAGGAGAGTTTGATCTTAAAATCAGTTAATTCTCTGTAGATCGTGGTCATCCTCTGGCAAACTTCTTCAGATGTAATCTGGTTCATTTTTTGGTTAAATGCAGAACTGAAGACTGGATTGATAATAGCACCTAATTTTTAGCTCACAGGGTTTCCTTCCTGTGCTTCGCCCTTTCATAGCTGTTAGCTGGGCTGCTGTCACTTTGCTTTCTTTGACCTCAGCCTCTGAGCACTTGGTGCTTTATTGCTCAGCCCTCACACACTTCCCAGAGGAAAAAAACATCACCAGAATTATTTCTATTTCTTCCTTCATTGTATATACCAAATTGTGGTTTTCTTTGGAAGATTTTCTGCAGAACTCCCTGCCACATTCCCTCTAGTTCCCTAGAGATGTTTAATTAGAATTTGGTGTTACAGTCTTAAGAAAACCTACCTTGCTTTGTTCCTTACATGACTGGCTAGTTTTCCTCATTATCATAGGGCAACAGCAGAGCTAATGAGTAAAGATATTTTAAAAAGAGTAGGCCCCAAACCTCAGCCTTGCAGAATGGGATGTCTGGATAACTGTTAGTGACGTACCTTATCTGCTGCTTTATTTTTAGATGCTCTTCTACAACGGGTAGCAGAATTGGAAAAGGTCAATGCAGAATTTCTGCGCACAAAGCAGCAACTTGAGCAAGAATTTAATCAAAAGAGAGCAAAATTTAAGGAGTTATACCTGGCTAAGGAAGGTAAGTCCTCAGTTCTCTGAATTATTCTAAAGGTTATTGAACTTCATTTTCAAATAATCCCATTATGAAGCATAGTCTTTTAAACAGTTATAATAAGAATGTAAGAGATTCAATAGGTGACTATTGAGCATCCTAGAGTGAACTTTAAAATTGAATTTAAAGATTTGCCTCATGGATAGGAGCCAAAGCAACTTGATGTCCATGCAGAAACACCATCACTGAGTTTCAATACAAATTTCCTGAGTTCAGGGTGCGCTGTCTGAGCAGGAGCTGATCTGGTAAATGGAAAGTATAGCCTAGATGCTGTGCTGTTTCTATTCTGTTGCCTTTTTTTTAATGTAGCATTTATTTGTCTTAAATTTCCATCTGAGGTAAGCTGTAAGCAGGCAAATGTTATAAAAGTTCTAATACCAGCCAAGGGCATCTATTTCAATAACACAATTTATAGGAAAATTTAAATCATATGAGCTCAACTATCATGATAAAGGATCAGAGTAGAGGTAGCTGTTCTGAGAGCCAGATTGATTTATCTAATTCTGGTGATTTTCCTGTCTTTAACATATGAAAGCAGAGCCAAAACATAATGCATTAAGACTGCAGCTGCTGTATAAGCTTATGAGAGCAGAAATACAACAGGCATAATGAAGATTGGATACAGCAAGTCTATATTCTTGTGTTGCTAAGGCTGGATGAAAGGAAATTTAAGATACAAGACACTACTGATGAGATCAGCAATAATGTTCCCATTTTGGTATAGTCAAAAAATACAAAATAAATTGTGGTAGGGGAAGAAAAAACACCCCAACTTTCACAGCTACTGAAGTGAAAGGACACCAGAGAACAATATACAAGCAATTACTTTTCTTTTTGTTTACCCTCCCTCCAAAAGTTTTTCCTCTCCTAAATGTTCATTGTAGCTGTTGGGACCCATCTTTAATACTGTCATTTGTAAACTAAGACTATTAATGCTGCAGAGTCTTATTTTTTAACACAAGGATTAATGTCCTTTTAGGTATTTGATTGGCTCTGGGTTCTATATTCTCTATTAGGGGTGAGAGCACCAGGATTGATTCAGCTTTTTGGTACTGGGGGAAGTACATGGAGATAGCTTGGTGTTGGTTGTGTGCTGGCCAGATGTTTCTGCTAAAAGTGGTTGCCATAGAAGCAGGCTATGTGGGCATAAAACACATATTTTGTGTTAGTGCTTTTGGAATTAATTATATAATACATGTCTTCAGAACTGTCTATTTCAGATTAGCTGAGAACTTGGGAGGATAAGATGAAGTTAGTTTAATTTCTGTTTATAGTTTCAACAATTAGAGAAGTAGTGGGTGTTACATTGAATGTATCCCTTTTCTTTGTAGAAGCTCAGTTTTACCAAAGTCTGTGGTAAAGAGTAAATTAGTCTGCATATTTTTCTTGTATGTGCTCTCCAAAGTGGTCACAGAGTGTTTCTGTTCAAGTAATATGAAGTGTTCCATCGAAATTAAGAACCAAATTGGTCCCAGAAATGGGTGGGGAAACTGTTCTCCAGTCTGTTTGTGCCTTTTCCAAAGTAATTACCAGAATTAGTTAAATAACAAGAACTGATGAAAAGCACAATTCACTTTCATCAGGTATATTGGTCCTAGTTATATCTAGTGTCTGTATCCATAAGATGCTCCTTTAATAAAAGACAAGGGCAAGCAAAGTAAAGAAATAGGATTCCCTGAAGAGACCTGCCAACATTTGTTCAGTCGTTACAGGTGGATGTTTTAATACCAGTGCTTCCTTCACTCCCTTCAGTTCTTTGCCATAGCAACTGGGGCTACACTTGAGGTTGAACTCATTAATCTAGCTACATGTGTACAATCCTGCTTTCAGAGGACCTGAAAAGACAGAATGCAGTGCTGCAGGCAGCCCAGGATGACCTGGGCCAGCTGCGGACCCAGCTGATGGAGGCCCACGCTGAAATGGAGAACATCAAGGCCATAGCCACAGTGTCAGAGACCACCAAGCAGGAGGCCATCGATGAGGTCAAGAGGCAGTGGCAAGAAGAAGTGGCTTCCCTCCAAGCCATCATGAAAGGTAACAACCAGGCAAGCTGCTGAGATCAGTCACCCTGGTGTCCTCAGGGATTTGTGCCTGCTCTTCCTCAGAATATAGATAATTGTTATGGCTTGGGAAAGCTGCAGAAGGGATGGATGAAGTGTAGTTCCCAAGGTTGTGAAAAGGAGCTTGATGGGTTATTTATTGTCAGCTTGAGGACAGAATCTAGAATTCATGGCCATGGGAACCTCATGTATATGCAAAGCATTTTTGAGGGACTATGAATGTGATACTTCATCCTTCCACTAAGATAAGTATGATGCCTGTAATTTGACAAGTCTGCAAACAGCTTTAAGCTGCCAGCATGATTCTCTTTTTTCCTTCTGTGTGAACACAGTTCTGCTCTCACACAGTCAAGTGTCCCTCCAGTACTCAGATGGGCCTTCCCCCAGGGTAGTGACTGCACATGCTGCTCTCTCAGTCCTGGGTTGTTTTTTCTTGATAGCTCTGGTCTATTCCTTGTTACATTTGCACGTTGCACAGCTGTTGACATTTCTGAGACAAAGGGAATGAACAAAAGGATATGAACTGGGAACAGACTATTGCCACAAATAGTCTGTTTTCTTAAAGGTTCACATACAGGATCACACCATCCTGAGCCTAGTGCCTGTCAGCTGTGGGCAGTTTTTCCATCACCTCATTGTGCTTTTCACCTAGAACAGACAAACCTTCATGTATATTGAGTACACAAATGTCTGTTTATTTATGATCTGCACAGATACATGAACCTAGATTAAGGCTCAGCTGTGCCAGTGTAAACAGGCAGCTCCCGAGCTGAGAGGGGTAGTATGAATCCTGTTGCAGTGGAAGCTATGTGAGAAGTTTGAATTTTGGAGTACCTTTTTAAGGTTTTAGTAATTTGTTTAGATGGTGTACTTGGAGGTATAAAATGTGCTGCTAAATAGGATATTAGTCATGTACGTTTCCTTGAAATTAGGAGTTGCACAGTTTTGGGGGATAGTTTCTGTCTATTCTGTTGATGGTACTAATTGAAATTTAATTTCATTTCTTATGTATTTGGGTTTTGGGGCAGGAGTCCAAGGGAAGGGAGAGTTGTCCTAGTTTTGATTAATTATAGTAAATCATTGAGTGGTTGGAGATGGAGTTCCTAAATCTTTGTTCTTTAACTTACATTGAAAATAAGTTTTGAAAATGCTGTTTTCTAGAGACTGTTCGTGACTATGAGCTGCAGTATCACCACAGGATGGAGCAGGAGCGAGCTCAGTGGAGCCAGTACCGAGAGAACATGGAGCGGGAAATTGCCGAGTTGAGGAGGCGACTCTCCGAAGGGCAGGAGGAAGAAAACCTAGAAAATGAAATGAAAAAGGTACATTGCAATGGAGTTCCTCAGTTTCTGTTTGAGGATAGGCCCGTGGGGTCATGCATGGATGGGTTCATTCCTATGCCTGCTGTAATTCCTCAGCAACTCACACAGCCTGGTGCTGCCAGCCTTTGTTCATGGAAGTCATCATGACCTAATCCATTTAAAGCCTTAAAGACTTTGTTCCTAATTATGTGCATTCAGTGAGAGAATTGCACCTGAGAAGATGGTAAAGTTTAGCCTTCAGCTTGTAAAAACAGGCACCCTTGTAAAGTCATTTGTCATGATGTCAAATGAGCTCAAGGAAAACCACCTTTAGATTTTTCTGGATTGACTGCAGTTTTATATCTATTTCTTGAGGTCAGGATTGAAAGCACTTGAGATGGTGTTTCATGTTCAGGCTCAGGTGTTTATTATTCCTTACCTATGTTACAGGCTCACTACTGTGAGTTTGGCAGCTTTTTCATTAGCAAGGCACAAAATGGCTAACTAACTCTTGTTCCAAGGTCTTTTAAAACTAAACTATCCAATTAAGAAAGGACACCTAGATTATTTCCCCTTTTAACCCAATAACTGTTCCCCTGAAGCCTGCAATGAGGACTTTTCTGTCCAATCACAGAACATCACCCAAACAAGGTAAAGAACAACCTGCCTCCGCCCTAAAACCTCCATCTTGCTTCATATTTATCTCTTTATTCTAAAATCCCAAACTCTAAGTTTTCCACACTGTGATATCACACACTTCTAACCAACTACACACCCGTAATCCCACTGCTATTAATCAATTTTAAAAACCTGTTCCTGACCTCAGGTCAAATGCAGTGTTCTCTTGTGGGTCTGTGCCTTTAAGCACAGAAAGTTTAAAATTCTAAGCATTCAGGATTCCATCAGTTTCATAAAGTTTTCTTCAGACTTCTTTACTTTTACTTCTTTTTCTAGCTCTTAAAAACTTAAAAGTGCCCATTAAAACCTCAGAATATCTAAGATGTCTCTCCTCTTTCTCTAAAATAAGCCATGTTTGTGCATCACAGTTCTGCTGCCTCCCTAGGAAGTACAGAACCTTGCTGTCACAAAACAACAGGCTGTGGATGATGAAAAATAATTGCTCTGGAGTATGGACAGATATTGTTGTAGTTGTTTAAAGATCTGACACTAAGAAAGGTTCATAGAGGTAGATTGAGGTGCCTTGTCTCGAGTTTGAATTTTTTTTTTTTTTGTTGAGGTTGACGATTTAATGTGTTTCAGATAGGAAGGAAATTGAACCTGTCATAATAGATCAGTACTTTATAAAAATCTTTGTGTATCTTATTATAATAACTTGCATTTTTATTAATTTCTCATTTCAGCAAGCTTACCTTAGTCTTCAAGGTATTCTAATACAATTTTAAAGTAATGACTGAATCTGTATTCAATAAAGAAGTAGGTTAGTATCTGATAATCTGCCACATCACTGCATGTCCCTGCTCCTGCTTGCTGTCAGTAGGAGAAATGCAGTGTGGAGAAACATTTGAGCTATTTCTACTGTGTTGTAGCAAGCAATCAGTGTTAATGTTGCAAAATGGAATTCTTTTTCTGAGACTTAGAAAGAGATTCCTGGCTATTGCTAGTTGTAGTTGCATTATTGCTGTGGGACTGCTCTTCATGGGGCCCTAATTTCAAAGGTAAGAGTTAAGATAAAGCCTGTTCTAATCCCACTGCAATTGTAAGACATTTACTGTTTTTAAAAAAAAACATTTTCAACTATAGTCCTTTAAAAGGGAATTAAATATCCCTAAAGGAAAAGGTGATCAGTTTACTAATCTCTGGTAATAGGAGTTTGGAAAGCTTTCTAGGCCTGTAAAGCAGAGGAACACGTATCTTATGTAATAGGAGGGGGAGGGGGAAATCTGGTTTTCAGAGTGCAGCTTGAAATAATTGCTTAAACTGCTTTGCATGAGGTTTTAATCTTCTTTGTTATTATTAAACCTGTGAGGTTTTTCCTCAAGGAGACTAAGAATTAGATCAAAATTAGGAAAAGGACATTCAGTTTTACTTAAAAACAAACAAGCAAATCCCAAACCCATAAAAAGGTTTTCTTGGGCAGCAAAATAATGAATATTCATGTGTCAGCAGTCAGTGTGAAAAGAGGAACTTTCTTGATCACTTGGGATGTGTTATTTGAAGACTTGTAATCAATTCCTCATGCAAAATGGTATTTGCAGCCAGCAATGCTTGTACTCCATCTTTATATGTTCTTTTGTCAGAAAGAGCTTGTCTGGTGGAGCACATGCTCTTGTCTGGAAGCAGCTGTTTTGCTTCTCTATGTAAATACATTTCAGGTTGCAAATTGCAGATTTCTGTAGAGAATTTGTTCCGTGATTTTGTATCACAAAGCAATGATTTTGAAGAAATTATTTTCTAAGAAAACCTTATAATTTTATCTTCTTAATCTCTCTTCCCAGCTCAGAAAAGGTGGATACCTTGACCTAATGATTAACATGCTCACCTAGTGATTAACCTTTCAGAAAACTTACCACTGATTTATAAAAATCTGCTTTCATGTTGGGTTGTAGTGCCAGATAAGTCCAGGTTTTTTTGTTTTCACAGCAGCTAAAAGCCATCTACCACAGCAGCATGTATTTCCCTGCTGGGGAATGACTGAGCTGACTCTGGGCCATGACTGCGTGGGGATGAGTTGTGCCCAAACTTTGGCCACTGGCAAAATATGACTTGGCTTTATTTTTTTTAAGTTAGACCTCATTTTCTGTTCGGGATAGGATCTGTTTTGCTGTTGGAGCTGTGATGAATATAAATACTCTTCTTAGCACAGTTGTGTCAAATTCTGAGTAACAGAAGTCTGCAGAGCAGGTATTTTGTGTACAGAGATAGCAGGAAAGTACAAGGTTCCTGTTAGGAATTGTGCTTATTAATCAGGAGAGGGGAAATTGAAAGGGAAGAGTAATCAGATTTCTGTGACAGAGTTGGCCATAAAATCTGATATACAGTAAGCTATTTTTGTTGGTAATGGTGAAGAACAGTGGGATAAATTTAGAGGAGTTTTAAGTGATTTAGTCCTGCTTTAAAGAAAAATCTTCAAATTGTGTCTGTGTGTTTTCCACTTGTCTCTTTTTTAAGGAACAAGCTCAGATATAATGTTACTTGAGATTTCTCCAGTCAGATGTTTGTTCCTCTGAAAATGACTTGGACTAATTTTTAACATTATCTCTCCATGGAGTCATTTTCCTGCTGTGGGCTGCAGGTCCCTCAGTGTGTTCTGCAGCCCCTGTGCTGGGGAAAGCAGGTTTGGCTGGGGCAGAAGTGGTTTGGGTGCTGGTTTTTGGTTAAGGAATGAGTAAAGATGAGCTGATCATGAGTAAAATTGTGGCTGTTGACAGCCAAGTTAAGTTTAAGAAAATGTTAAAAGGAGATAAAGGTTTTAAAGATCGCACCTCTGGAAGTGTCTGAATTACACCTCTTAGCACAGGAAATTTGGTGCTGTGGCACCTCTTGCCACATGTGACAGTATCTTTAAGTAGCATTTTTCAACACAACAGATACTCTAATTTTATTAAAAGGTTGATTTGAGCTTTAACATTGATTTTGGAGTCTCAGTAATTTTGCTTTATGTCCAAAAGTAGACCCAGGGCCCAGCACTCCTTTTGTTAGCAGAGAGGGGCTGTTGGGAGTGTTTAGCTCAAGATCACACTGACCTTTAATGGGGATCCTTACAATATGGTGCAATCACAGTGTCAAACTTCAGTTCTGTTTACCAAGCAGTAAAAGCTGGAGTAATTTTTCTGTATGTGGATTGGGATACAGTTTTGTCTTTCCAGTTGTTCACAGTCTGGTTTTGCTTTCAGAGAACTTTTTGACTGTTTCTCTGAACTGCTTGGTTCCAACACAGGCACATTTGTTGCTCTGTATTCTGTGGTGAGCCATGTGAAACCAGGCTGGCAGTGAAATATTGCTGCAATTATCCTGAATAATTATAAAAGAATGTTCTATTCATTCTATTAAATGAATAGAACTGATATGATAAATGAAATATAAAGCAATGCCTGAAGTGGAACTCCTGCTCCCATTTGTTTGAAAAATGTGACTGTTGAGTTGCTGGCTGCAAGCACCAGGGTCTGGGTGTGTATGACAGTCACATGTCCCTGGTATTGGATTCATTGCCAAGTGACATCCCTTGCTTTCCTCACAGCTTTTATTGGTACTCCAGCAGTGACAAAATGTGGCAGAAATAAATCAAATGTAGAGAAATTTATTTTAGTGTCATGTTCAGATTTTTCTGTAAAGCTTTAAAATTGTAGTGCTTATATAATTGACAAGTATTGCAATAACATTTTATTTTGTCTATTAATTTTAAGTTAGAAAAGTTCAATGGTTAAAAATATTTTCTATTTCTCTTCCTGGAAGTCTTGCTTAGAGTACAGTTGTCAATAAGCTCACCAGAAACTCAAAGTCAAATGAGTAACCTCTAAAACCTGCATTTTAGTCTAGTTTCAAAACCAGACATAAGTGTTATCATTTACTGTCTGTCTTTGCTGATGAGGTTATGAAAGGTATCATCTTTTGAAACTCCAGCTTTGGGGCACAGTTCCCTGCCCTTCCTCCCCTGCCGAGTTCTTGCAGTAAAAGACAGAGAACAACTGAGCTTTCTGAGCCTCATGCACAAAGCCAGCCCAAATTAGAATGCTGGAATTCTCTGTGCCTTGGAGAGTTTTACTGCAGCAAGTATTTGAGTGTTCTGCTGCCTCTTGGGGAGTCTGTGGGAGCTGCTCCTTTCACTTGGAAAGTCTGTAGTGCATCCCTGAAGGAAAGGCAGAGCATTTAAGTAATAGGGATGTCAGGGCCACACATTAATGTGCAGTTCTGGTTTTGAACCCTGAATGCTATTTCTCATTTTAATTCTTGCTATTTTTACCTGTCTTTCCCTTTTCCCCCCTTTCCTTGAAACAGTCCTCTAATTCTGCTGCTCTTTGATCTTCTCCGAAGTACTTTTTGAAGGAAATCATGGGATAAATTGTCTATATATAGCTTGAAATATTCAGTACAGTAGCACCAAAACCTGATGCAGCATCACTAGTAATGTAATGTTGAAAAATGACCTTCTGAAATGAAACTGAGCTACACTAGGCATTACTGTGCAGCTCCATTTGCTTTAAACTTTTTTATAAGTAACTGCATGATCAGTACCTCATCATGCACATCTTTTGGTTTTTTTCATATGCAATATGTGGCAGCAGGTTGTGGGACAGTTAGGACCTTCAATGAAGGAAAAGTGTACATTATTTTAAATGCTTGATGCATAGATTTTCTCACAGACATCAGGAGGAATAGATTTGCTAAAATTCTCTTCTGAATCAGATATTTTTGGCTTAACCCATACACAGATTAAAATTTAGTTGCCTTCTGTGAATGGAGTAATATCAGCCCACTGTCACAGAGATGGCTGCTGAACTAAAGAAATATCAGTAAGATGAGCATTGAAAGTGGAAGTTTGGTCAGCTTTTTTTGTTGATGTAGAGATTTTCTCCAAGTGTCTCCAGTAATGAGAACTGGTGTGAAAATTCTGATGATGTGTTGCAATTTATTGTCTTAACTTCAGGCTCAGGAAGATGCCGAGAAGCTGCGCTCGGTTGTGATGCCCATGGAGAAAGAGATTGCAGCCCTAAAGGAGAAACTGGCAGAAGCTGAAGAAAAAATAAAAGCAGCATCAGAGGTGAGGTGGAACTCTAACTGGATCCTGATGTATATCTTGCAGTGTGCTAGTTTGATGCAGACAAGTCGAATTTTATAAGAGAGAAAAAGGTGTATTGGGAACAACAGGAAAGCTCTTCATGCCCTTCTTGTCTCCTGTAGCTCAAATGTCATGCTTGGCCTACATACATTTTTGCATCTTTTTCGTTTTGAGAGTTGTACTGTGTGTGTGGGATCTGAGTTTAGAATAAATTGCACAGCTCCAGGTCTACTAATAATAGAAAAAGCTCTAGAAAAATATCTGCTTTGCACTTCTCCCAGCCACCTGGCCTCTGGGTTATTGGCACACTTGGAGCCACAAAGTCAGATTTTCCCGTTTGAAAGGCTTAAAGGGCAGCAGATGGAAGGTTTGGTGTCCTGGGGCAGCAAAGCTGTCCCCACCATCAGCGGCAGTCACAGCCCAAGGCTGTCCTGAGCCCTGGCTCGGCGTCAGTGTGTCTTGTGCTGTGTGGAGGAAGATGAACAGCAGCTCTCTGCAGCCAGTCAGGAATTGCCTGAAGGCTTTGGTTTTCTCTAAGATAAAACCTCCTGTGATTTCTGACTCAGCAAACCATAAAACAGAATAGTGCCATAAAGAAATCTTTCAATTTATTCCAAGGCGGAATCCATTTCTCCAAGCATCATGTCTGACAGATGTTTATGTAACCCTGTCTTAAAAGCTTCTGACTGGAGATTCTGCAGGACACTCATTTCAGTTCTTTGTTGGCTCTGCTATTTAAAAAAAAAAAAAATCCAAATATATTTCTTCAGTATTTCTTGATATAATTGCTTTTTGTTGATAGATTTTCTTCCTTCTTGCAACAGTCTCTCATGAGTTGGAAAATTTATTTTTTTGTCTGTCCCCAAGTTTTCTCTCTTCTTAGACTTACTTGAAGTTTGCCTCAGTCATTTTTTTCTGACTACTATGATTACTCAGTTTTGAACTAAGGAGTTCTTGGCTTATCAGCATTTATCAGCTGTTTAGTTCCTGGCTATCAGCACTCATTACTTCACAGTGAAGTGATCACTTCACTGTCTGCTTTCCTGAGATACTTTTCTTTTTACCATCTCTGTGCTCAGTGCTGCTGCTGCTGTGATCCAGCTGCTATAACTGTGATACACTGATAGGTTTGACTTAGAATTTTAATGAGTAACTCATTCACAAGTAAATACAAGCACTGCTTACACACTGGTAGTTGAATATTTGTGATCTCTGCAAATAAACTGGTCCTTCAGCACCTGTACACTATCTGAACAGGCAGCACTATGACTTCTGACAAGAATGAAATGTCTGAGAGTGTTCCCCCACTGAGCTGGTTATTTCTTTCCATTTATTCAGGTTAAAGAACTGAACCATTATTTAGAAGCTGAGAAGTCGTGTAGGACAGACTTGGAGATGTACGTGGCTGTTCTCAACACACAAAAATCAGTCCTGCAAGAAGATGCAGAGAAGTTGAGGAAGGAGCTGCATGAAGGTACCTACCTAAAAATAGTCCTTTGACTCTCTTCCACTGAGGATGCAAAACCCAGTGGAGCTGTGAATTCTTTTATAATTTCTTACTTGATCTTGATTAAAAGAAATTGGGAGAGGGAAGCAGGACTTTTAAATGTGAAAGGCCATAAAATGTTTGCAGAAGAATTGAATGTGGAATTCCCTTATGTCAGAAAAACAACAGTCATTCATTCCCTCAAGACTTGTTGAATGTCTGCTAAGTTCTTTAAGCATTGCAAGCTTCATTCTTGCTGAAGTGATTTTAGGTGTGTATTGTATTTGTGCATAATTATGAGCATTATTTCCATAATGTATAGACCTGGCTCCCTGAGTGTGGCAGTGCTGAGTGCTGGAATGAGTTTGGAAATGTCCCTGTAGGGCACCACAGCCCAGGGTCACTGCAGAGGGGTGGAAACCAGAACCTGCTGCTGCAGTAAATAGGGATGTAGAAGGCAGTTTTCTAAACCCAACACTAAAAAAACCCCAAAACTGTTAGAATTCATGAATGAAGTTGAGGCTTTAGTCTTCTCACTGGGAAATCTTGAACTGTCAGTAATATATCCCTGATCACAAGCCAAGTTTGGAAATTAAGAAAATGGTATTTGAAATAAGACATTTTTAACCGAGTTGTTGAACAAAGCCTGACTGTTCTTGATTAGACCAATAATTACTTTTATTCCTGAAAATGCTTCTCTTTGGAAAAGATATTAAAACCCTTCTGGTTCAGAAGAATATTTTTCTCTGCTTCCATAGTTTGCCATCTGCTCGAGCAAGAGAGGCAGCAGCACAACCAGCTGAAACACACATGGCAGAAAGCCAATGACCAGTTCCTGGAGTCCCAGAGGCTGCTGATGAGGGACATGCAGAGGATGGAAATTGTGCTCACCTCAGAGCAGCTCCGGCAGGTGGAAGAGCTGAAAAAAAAGGATCAGGTTACCTGCTGCTTTCCTCTTTTTGCTTTTATTTTTTTTTTTTTTGTAATACTGTATGTTTACTATGGTGTAACAGGTGTGGAAATCACATGTTGGGTGCAAGTGTGGTAATAGCTCAGAAAATGAGAACTGACAGTTTTAACTGAAATCTCCCCTTTGAATGACAGCTGGCAGTTTTAACAGACCCCATTTGGACAAGTATTTTAATAGTGGTCTATATAGGAACTCTAAGGTTGCCAATAGTTAAATAAAAATTTAAGAATATCCAGAAATTAGTCTTGGAGGAAGAAATAGTCATCTGTGATGCAAAACGTCTGGGTTAAGGATGTCAGCAAGTTTCACTTCTTTCTAGGTTTTTTCAGCCTTCCAGTATATGTCCTAGACATAAATTAAGACTTTCATTTTAGATTAGCTTACACAAGTGATTGTACATACTTATGACTTAGTGATCTATTAGGGATTTTTCTTGATTCCTTATATTCCATCATTTAGTGATCAAGGCACTTCCTGTTTGACTTTTTTTTTAATGTTCATGCTTGTATAATGGCTATTAATGGTTCTTTTATTAATGGGTCTTTTTTAGATATGTTATATATTTATAGTCTATACAATAGCCAATGTACCAGCTAGTTTTGTTACTTGCTAATCTTTATAATTAGAATTTTAAACTAGGTAATACGCTTTTTGAATAAAATCATTCTAGAACATGAATCAGCCACTAAACGTGCAAAGTTCTCACTTTAGTCAGCTTGGGTGCCTTGTGAAATGAACACTATGTTTATTAACTAAAGGAATATTTATGTGAAAACCACTGGGTTTTAACCAAAATAATCCTTTTCAGTGTCTTCTTTGTAGCTTAGTTTATCATGAAAGCTGATGTCATGACTGTTATGGCAAAATTGAATCCCATTTTCTGTGTATGCTCTATTGACCACTGATTTTTAGGAGGAAGATGATCAGCAAAGGCTTAGCAAGAGAAAGGAAGAGAAGCAAAAAGATTCAGATGATGAAACAAAGGCTTCATGTTCTCTGGCCCCTGAAGAAACCCTTACCCAGCTCTCTAATGAAGAGGTAAAACAATTGAATCTTTCACTTGTACTTGGGCATTCCTCAGGGTGTTCATTGCAAATACAAATGCAAAGTTACAGCCCTCTATTCTCTGTAGCTTCTAATCTTATTAGGCAATAAAAAATTCTCGGAGTTGCAGTTGAATCTATAAATCCTAATTAAGATTGGAAGACAATAGTGCACCATCCTGCGAGGTGCCATTAAAAATGGTAATTTACATTTTACATTCTGGAGGTTAACTGCTGGTAGATTCTCCTGGGATTTCTAAGCACATTCTAACACACCTAAATGTTCAGGATTAAGCCAATTATATCTGAACATTTAGCAAGAGTGTTGTAGCTACTTTGCTAACCAAAATGTTGAATTCTGTACTTATCATTTCTTAGGGTCCATTTTGGTTTTGTGAGTCAAATGAAGGAAAAATTAATAAAAACCCGCAAAGTTTTTGTGCTATAGGAGCTTATTTAACCTTCAAGAGACATGAGAATTTTCAGAGTGAGCCAGTGTTTTGCCTGGTTTTTTATCATTTTTGAAGGGGAAAAAAGGATATATTTTAATATATGTATTCTGAAGTAATTCCTTTACTTTATCAAGGATTTGTAACAGTTCAGAATGCAGAAAGATGTTCAGAATAGTGAGATCTCAATGTAGCTGTGATCTAGTTCTACCCTTTTGCCTACAGTCACTTTCTGTTTCAAATACTGTTTGTAGCTTCCATGTCCAGATATGCAAATGAGGCACATTGGTGAGGAACAAAAAATTTATCTTCTCATGTTTTCTTTAATCTCAGTTCATTGCATATTCTTTAGTCCATCATTCACAACACTTACTTGCTTCTAAGATTTATGCATAATGGAAAATTAATATTTTGAGAAGGAGCATAATTTTCAGAGTGGTTTGGGTTTGTATATGTGCTTGGTTTTGTTATTTATGACGTTTTTAGCTGTTCAGAATATGTTTTATATGTTGTAATCAGTCGTATTATTCATCAGTTCTTACAACTTGTTATAACTCCTAACATCCTCTCTCTTGGGCAGTTTGCAATACAAACATTTGATTTATTAATATTATTTTGGTTATCACAGAACAGCTGTAGCCTGAAAATGCAGTTTTATGTAAGTCTGTATTCCCTTGACTTTTTTATTCTGAACTTGTATATATACATGCAAGTATAAAACACCTAAAAATGATTAAAACAAGGCATTTACAATAGTCAAATAGTCATAAAACAATAGTACATTTTATATATATATATATATATTATAGATTACAAACACTTACATGAAGTGCCAGCAGCCTGCTAGTCTCTGGACCTGTTTCAGAAATGATAATTTTTCTCAAGAGGCTGGTTCCAGTGTTACTTCCTTATGTGTCTAATGGCAAAGCAGAAATACATAATACTTTGGAAGGTATTTTGAAAGCAGTCATGTGCTTTTTAAATAAAGCATTACTGCTCTCTTTTCAGTGCTACAAAAAACAAAAATAGATCAAGAGGCTCCATGTGCCTGATACATATCACAGGACAGTGATGGCTTTTGGTGCTGGCATTCCTCAGGATACCTTTGGGTCTAAGCCTGGCCTTTTCCCTTTTCTTTTTATTTTATATACAAATAATCTTGTGAAGAAAATATTTTGGTGTTTTGTCAGACGCTCAAGGCAGAACAGAAAAATAGAACAACATATACTTGTTGGTGTAGAGTAGATTTTAAGTATATTCTCTGTTTATTTTTGTGTTAATGCATAGTGTTTTCTTTTATGGAAAACTTTTGAATTTCATTTTGGAAGTGGAGTATCTGCCTTCTGTTGTGTAGATTATGGCTGCTGAGGGGATGTTGCAAGTACATCTCTTCAGGGGAAGCATCTTACCTTAAGTATTGGAAGATGGAAGGTGACTGTGTCCTTGCTTGTCTGGCAGGAAGGGAGTCTTACAGAAGCACTCTGTTCACAGAAGACTTTTTTTACTTGCTTTATTTGTTTTTGAATTCTAGCTGGTTCATTTCAGTTCTCTGTCCCTTCCTCTGTGACTATAAACTTAGAGAGCACGTGTTCTTGCCAAAGAAATTTAAACTTGCCTTTGCCATGCCTTGTAATTAGTGTCCAGCATTTCTCCTGTACCACTAAAATGGTAAATATTTTTTTTTATTCCTTGATTTTCAATTCCAGGTGCATGTGAATAGCACCCATGGCTCAGTCCATTCCCTGGATGCAGACTTGCTTCTTTCCTCTGGCGAATCCTTCAATAAACCAGACACTGATGTGTTTAAAGATGGACTAAGGAGAGCACAGTCAACAGACAGTCTGGGCACATCTGGATCCTTACAGTCCAAAGCTTTAGGGTACAACAACAAAGCGAAATCTGCTGGGAACCTGGATGAGTCAGATTTTGGACCACTTGTTGGAGCAGATTCAGTGTCTGAGAACTTTGATACGGCTTCCCTTGGATCCCTGCAAATGCCGAGCGGGTTCATGTTGACCAAAGATCAGGAAAAAGCAATCAAAGCAATGACACCAGAGCAAGAAGAGACTGCTTCCCTGCTCTCCAGTGTCACCCAGGGTGTGGAAAGTGCTTATGTGTCCCCCAGCGGGTACCGCCTGGTCAGCGAGACAGAGTGGAACCTGCTGCAGAAGGAGGTGAGTCCTGCCCTGCTCCTGCTCCCTCAGCTCTGCCCAGAGCCAAGGGGGAAAGGAGGAGGCACATACAGAGCAGCTGTTCTCTTTGCTCTCTTGGAATGCTTCTGTAGGTAGAACACATCCAGTGTAAGGTGCATGAGCTGGCCCTGCTCCTGGGACAGGCAGCTTTACTAAACACAAGATGCTTTGGATTTTGAGGAGGGTCTGGCAGAGGTGGCTGTGGAGCTCAGTATTGTCTGAGAGGGGGAAAAAAGGTGGAAGAACTTAAAGAACCGGAGAAGATGGGAAGTTGAGGAAAGGGCATTGTAGTGGAGCTGGGGATGAGTAGGAGAAGGCAGAGAGGAGCAGAAGCAGCAGAGCTGGGGGTGTTTGCTGAGGGCTGTGCACAGGGGGCACTTTGGAAATGAGCAGCCAAACTATGCCCAAGGCACAAAGTACCACAGGACGTTGTTGGGGACTTTAGTCATCAGAGACCCATTTCTGAGAGCAACAAGCTAGATTAGACTGAACCCTGGGCCAGTTGCACTGTGGATGACCAAGGAAATTGTTGTTTCTGAGTGTTCTGCCTGACAGTTTTTTGGCAGCTTCATATGGTGCCAAAACTTGTATTTGGTTTCTTGCTGAAAAGTGGAGTATTTGGGGTTTCCTGTGGTTTTTCTTTTGGGGAAGAGAGGCCAAGGAGCCTCTTTCTTCCCACTTTAGGGGGAAGAAAAGATGAGAGGAGATAATAATCCATACTGGGTGAAAAGGGAGACAAGATGGGAGTTTAAAAAAAAAAATGTATTGAAGGAGAAAATGCTACATGAAGGACAGATGAAATGAAGAACTACTGAGTTGGTTTTTTTTTCTCAATTTGTTGAAATTTACCTGAGTGCAAATCATTGCTTAGGAGGTCTTTCCAAACCTGTTGTAAAGTTGATTTGTTGTTGTTGTTTTCCTACTTGATTTGCTATATCTGGAGAAATTGCAGCATCCTGAGCTGTGAGCTGAGTTAAATCCTTACTCTTGAGTGTTGCCTTGCCCTGTTGACATTTTGATGACACTTTGATGCATTCTGACAGCCCTGTCTCAGAATCCAGAACAGAAATGCAGCTTCCCACATGTTCTGGAGGCAGGAGCACACACTGGGGTGTGAATGCCTCTTGCCTTGCTGTGGGTTGGACATGCAGCAGCAAATACAAACACAGCTTCAGCTCAAACTTGACCTGCAGCTGGAAATTTTATTAAACTTCCACTTGTCCCCTTGGCCAAAACCATTGCAGTTCCAGCATGACAGCAGGTCTGCCCTCCCCAACACTGTTACTTTCTTCTCTTCTGTTTGGTTTCTGTTTGTCAGAAGAACGCAAGAGTGACTTGATGAACTCTTTGTGCTGTGGCTTTTTGTGCTAATGGTGGACCCATGGCAGGAAAAGCTGATATCCCACAGCTGATTTGAGTTATCCTTCACTTTTAGAGCAACTCAATCCTACCATTACGTGATTCTGCCACTGTCTTTTGTCTGCAATGCTTTGTGGCCACACAACACACCTGAGTGTGTCTAGCATTCTGCATTCCCTGGAGACTTTCCTGGCTCATGGCAGTGCTGGCTCTGTGTTCTGCAGGTGCAGAATGCAGGGAACAAGCTGGGCAGGCGCTGTGACATGTGCTCCAATTATGAGAAGCAGTTGCAAGGGATCCAGATCCAGGAGGCTGAGACCAGAGACCAGGTGGGAATTCTCTCATTGCTTTAACCAGGCTTTTGCAGCTTTTTTAACTACTAAAGGTGTGTGTTATTAACTGGTTTTAATTGACCAATATCAACATATATCAATATATATCAATAGCAACTCAACAGAACTTGATTTGTTGTTCATGTGTGGCCATGTACATATTTCTTAGGGATTCACCTTGAAGAACCCCTTTATTTGATGCTGTAATACCATGCAGTAAAGGCAGTGTTCTATAAAAAGTATTGTGCTATGCTGAAGTCAGTATCTTTAATAATTTATACTTTAAAATGCTTGTCATGCATTAAAATCTATTATCTTTGATACTGTAAGATCTGTTAACAGAAAAGGACCTCATCCTAGCAGCATAAAATGACTTTCAAGTCTTGGAGGCTATTTGTTTCCTGCCATATACCAAAGAACAATTTTCAGATGGGTGTGGAAGGCATGAGTCACATTCTGCTTTGAAATAAGTGATTGAAGTCATTGCATGGCCACGGTCCAGTGCAGTTTGATGTCCCATCTTTCCTTAGAGGGATAATCTGTGCTGAGCCTGTTTCAACAGCAAGGGAACTTCTGGGTTGCATAGGATTTTTGAGGTATTTTATGTTGTTGTTTTGAGAAGTGAAGGGGTTCAGGAAATAAATACTCCTCAAGAGAATGGAAAATTAATTCATTTTGTTGTGACAACACAGGTGAAAAAGCTGCAGGTGATGCTGAGGCAAGCTAATGACCAGCTGGAAAAGACAATGAAAGATAAACAGGAACTGGAGGATTACATGAAACAAAGTGCTGAAGACTCCTCTAATCAGGTACAAGGATTTGGTAATTGAGATCCAGGAATGATGAAATGTTCTTCAAAAGTATATAACAAGAACTTGTGTTTTTGTAGATATGGATGGGCTACTGGCTGTAGAGGCAACACAAAGGAGAATTTCTAGGGTTAGTTATGCTCCACCTCAGTCTGCCACAGTTTCTAGATAAATCTATTTTGCCTCTAATGTTGTATTACCCAATTTTGGCCTTAAAATATCACCTCTAATCATGAAATCCATTACAGAGTGTCAGTAGGCGTTTGAGTTTTGGAGTGACCTGTGTCTGAAATGACCCAAACATGCAAGCAGAGCCCTGTGCTCTGGGCACAGCCTTGTTGCTAGAAGAGTGGCTCTGTTCCACCACCTGCTCTTATCAGCATTTGACACCCAGTTAATGGACTAGTGGTGAAGAATGCAGTAATGAGGAGCTGAGCAGGCATTAGCAGGGCAAAAATAGGCACTGAACTCCTTTAAAATAATAACCCACTGCAAATATTTTTCAGTCTGAGATGTGTACCTAATTCTTCTGGAACAATGAAGCCAAATATAAGAAGTGGTATAGTTAAAAATAAAAAGAAGGGAAAAAAAAAGTCATCATCTTTGGCCTATTAAACCCTTGCAGTAGTAGGTACATGCTGTGTACCAGACACTGAATTTACTTCACTGGGGCTGGAACTGTGTCTCTTCCATTCCACACAGTATTTTTTCTTACTAAAGAAAGAGTCATTAGACAAAGTCTTAGACAACAGAAACATGTTTATATGTTTTTCTGGCTGTACCAGGGTGCTGTTAATTAAGTAATGATTAATCTTATTTGTGTTGTTGTGGAATGACTTGTAAAGTTTTTGAAAGTGATTTCCGAGAAAGGTACAAAAATTCAAAAAATGCTGAAAACTTAGAAAAAAGCTCTTCAGTTTCCCTTCAGTGTCTCCAGAGTAGCTTACATGTAAATTTTATTAGAATTAACTGTTAATTCAGAGTTAGGTAAATAGAATATAAAAATGTTGTTGGTGCAGAAGCACAACATCTGTCCTTACTGCCTGGAGCTGCTTTCCTGCTTGACTGAGTGAAGAATTAACATAACTTTCAGCGGCTTCGTTTGAAATTTCAAAATACCTATTAGTAATGATAACAGGCAAGAGAACTTATTTGTTTTTCAGAATCCATTCCATGCTTTATTTCTTACATATCTGTCTGCTTTCTTTCTTTAAGATCTCCTTGCTCATGGCCAAGTGTCAGAAGTCAGAGAATTTCCTCAGTGAGCTGCAGCAGGCATTTCTGCAAGCCAAGAGAAGTGTCCAGGAGCAAATGGTGAGCCAGGTTAATTCCAGAGATCCATGACCAGCCCTGTTTGTGTGAGCCTGGGAGCTCAGTGTGTCTGTAAAAGGCTTTTTCTGCCCAGCCAGGGCTGGCTGGAGAGGGCTGAGCATCTTCACTTGCTGGGGCTCGAAAAGTTTGTGTCATTCTGTGTCTGTGTTCCTGCACACTCAGGAGCAGGGAGATCACTGGCCAGCTTCTTTTCCCCTTATTCGTTGTCCGATTCCATGTCCCTTTGCTATCTCCACCTCAAATCTGAAGACAGTAGATTTTCTCAAGACACTTTTTTAGGATTCATCACAAGAACCATCATTAGTGAATGTTTTCTCAGGTTTTAGAGATGAATGATCTGTGTTGTTGCAGGTCAGACTTAAAATAGCAGCCCTAACACCCAGGGAGAGCTATGTATGGAAGCTTAATTTTTTAAAACTATTTTTGAGCATCTTGTTGGAATTAAGCCAGAGAATAGGAAGAGGTCCTCATGTTCAAGAAGTAAGTTTGGCTTCCTTAGAGAAATTCATTCCTTTCTATATCAGAATCAAGTTTCTTCTTTTTTCCTCCCTGGCACAGCATTTGTGGGGCATCAAGAGAATTCACCATCATAAACCCCAGCATTGCATTATTGGGGTCAGGGATTGTGTGCAGCACAAGAGGATATTGCTGGCAGAGATGCTCTGCATGAGAACAGGTCTGGTGGATGTGCAGGAGATTCAGAAAATGTGTTAATCTGAATCAGCTCCTCCTCCTGCCCCCTGTAACAGAGCTCCTGCCATTGCTCAAGGTCCCCATTTCCATTCCCCTTGGAAAACTTTCTTTTGTAATGCAAGCAAAGCCATGTCCTCTTCATCCTTTTTCTTTCCATGGGATCAGCTGTTCTGGTGCTCCCCTGGGAGGACAGTGGGAGGCAGACACCCACCATGGAAACTTTCAGAGTGAATATTTCAGGTTTTTGGATAACCTGCTCTTGCAGCTGAGTGCTGAGATGGTTTTAATAAACATCCCTACCAGCTCCTGAAAACACCTGTGATTCCCCATCTTCCTTCCCCTCCATGAGCACAGCCAGCTAATGGATAAACACAGGAGGAAAGTGGGACACTGAACAAAGCTGTATTTTATTTATCACTTGCTTCCTCCTCTCTGCCTGGATCCTTAAAGTTGGCCTTCCCTTTATTTCTGGTGCATAGGCCAGGGAAGAGGGAGCTGCTGGTGGTGATCCACAGCATCATTTTGTTTCTCTTTTTTACAAAGAATATAAATTCACCAGACTTCTTAAAGCAGTGATAGCAAATGGGGCAGAAGACATTGAGCATGACCCTAAGTGTGAATTGATGCTTTTCTTTGCATTGTAGGCTGTCCTGACACAGTCAAGGGAGCAGGTTTCAGAAGAGTTGGTGAGACTGCAAAAAGATAATGAAAGTCTTCAAGGAAAACACAGCTTGCATGTGTCCTTACAGCAGGCTGAAGATTTCATTCTACCAGAAGCAGCAGAGGTAAAATATATTTAAATAATTAACACCAACAGTGCTTGTGACTCGATCTCACTGGAGCATTATTCTTTATCAAAAAACCGTCCCAAATAGCACAAACAGTAACTGGAATTTTAACCCTGGAAGTCTGTGATGGGTAAAGCCAGCCAGTGGTCCCCCTGTGCCATGGCTGCTTCAGGGTGTTGGATGGATTGTAAAACCAGTTAGCTGTGGCCTGACAGCTGCTCTGTGGTCAGTGGAGTGTGGGTTTGGCCCAGTTCAGCCAGTTCAAGCTGCATTTTCCAACTGGGCACACAAGTGTTCAGTCTGCAGAGCCCCACTGTATTGATTCAGTGATTCAGGTGGAGTCAGTCTCTTCTGTCCACTTCAGACCAGTGATAATCCAAAGCCTTGAATAATGATAAGCCTTATCATCCCTTTCATGGCCACTCCTTTCCTTTCAGCCTAAAAGATTTGGTGGGGCTGGAGGGCAGGGGGAGCATCATAAACCCATGGGGATGTTTGCCACGTTTTCATTCCCTGTGGCCAAGCAGACTGTGGCTGTAATGCCTTGCTGGGAGCAGGAATGAAATCCTGGGATGTCAGGGCCAGCCCAGCTTTGGCCTTGTGCAGATACTCCAGTGCTGGGTGTGGCACAAATGCACATCTCTGCTAATCCCTGATCCAGGAGCTCCGGGAGCTGATCCTCAAGTACAGGGAGGACATCATCAGTGTGAGGACTGCAGCAGATCACCTCGAGGAGAAGCTGAAGGCAGAGATCCTCTTCTTGAAAGAACAGATCCAAGCTGAACAATATTTGAAAGAAAATATAGAAGAAACTCTACAGCTGGAAATAGAGAATTGCAAAGAGGAAATAGGTGAGCAGGGGTGAAACCGTCTCACAATAGGAATATAAGAAATTATTAAGATGCACAAAGACTTGATTTTACAGTAGACTTACCCGAATTCTAATACTGTGCACTTTTGAAAGCAGAGACACCAAAGCTTTGCAGCTGAAAACAAAAGTACAATTATTTGTTTGCTTTTGAGGTACCCTGGATGTAACATGAGCTTAATTATCCTTTTAAATATTAACAGAAGTAAACAGGGTATGAACAATTTCCTGCGTTTCTTGCATTTAAGTTTTAATATTCTTGTTTTTCAGCTTCCATTTCGAGTTTAAAAGCTGAACTGGAAAGAATAAAAGCAGAAAAGGAACAGGTAAGAAGCTCTTTCAGTGTGGAATTTTTGGGCTTGGTGGTGTGGGGTTTTTTAATAAAGGGTTTTTTCTCTTTCCTGTATTGATGCCAGTGTAGGAGTAGGACACATTCATAGTTCTGTTCCTTAAAAGGTGTTTGATCTGTTTTATGAATCTGTAACCTAAATACTGGATTAACTAATTGCTAACTAAAACTAGACTACCTTGCATTGGCCTAAATGTCAGGTTTGGACATTTCTCTCCAGCTCCAAAAGTAAATAAATGGAGAGAAAGTGATGTTATTCAGGTGTTTTCTCTGCCCCTAGAAGAGATTATTTAGGTGTGTTTCTGAGTCCCTGAGTCCCCTATGTATCTGAAAGATACTTAGACTTCCTTATGGAGGGATTGTGGGAGATTGAAATGTTATGAAGTTTAGTTAATATTTTTTCAATATTATTATTATACAGTTGGAAAGTTCTTCACAGGAAAACCTGCAGCAGCTGGAGAGTCTGCAGGAGGCAAAGAATGCTCTAGAAGAACAGCTGAAGAAAGAGACTGCAGCAAAGGTAGCTATGATGTCTGGATGTGAAGTGTATCTGCATCCTTTGTGATGAGCAGCTGTGTCAGAGAATGTGGCACAACCTAAGAATGAAAAAAAAGAAGCTTTTGAATGTTGGTAAGAAACTGGCAGGGCAATAATGTCCTCTGGATGTGGTTTAAATCCTCACCCCTGTTCTCACTGGGATTTGTAAAGTGGTGGCTCTGAATTGCTGCTGACCTGAGCATCCCTTGGGCTGCCCTCCCAAGTGAAGGCTCAGGAACATTCCTGAGGAGTGTCCTGATAACCAAACCTTGGCTTGGATGCTTTGATGCTTTTGAAGAAATGGTTTTGTAGTTGCTGTAGGAGGGGGCTCTACTTCAGCACTCAGGTGAATTAATTGTGAGCTGAGCTCTCACCCTCTGCCCTCTCATGTTGTGGTTTTGGGTTTTTTATGCCCTTTCCTCCAACACTTCTCTGACTAAAGCTCAGGACAGCAAGACAGTTACATTGCCAGCAGCAAATTACTGCACTAACCATGAACTTACTGCACTAAAACCCAGAACTCTGGTTTGTATTTTGAGATCCCTGCTCATGGTGCTGTTAAAGGACTTTAACCAGTCTGTTGGCACGTGTTAATGGGTATCAGCTCCTGATTTGGCACTTTGGAAAACTGAAGTGTGGAAAGACAGGTTTAGTTTGTTTCCAGGGCCCTGTGAATGCTGTGCTGCTGGCCTCTGGTATCACACTTTAATCAGTTTATACAAGCCTCTGATTTTTATTCAGTTCAAGCAAAAGAACCTTTTCCTCCTCAGGCCAACCTTGAGCAGCTGGTGTTTGAGGAGAAGAACAAAGCCCAGCGGTTGCAGACTGAATTAGATGTCAGTGAGCAAGTGCAGAGAGACTTTGTAAAGCTTTCTCAGACCCTTCAGGTAAGAGCCCAATCAATGTGTAAGGGCTACTTTAGTTTCATTATTTCTCCAGATCTGAGTAAAATAAGAAATAGCAATTGTAAATTTTCTTATGTTGGCATTTATGATCTATTTTAGAATTTGTTATAAACTGATCAGGTATTCCTACTATGATATTATTATTATTATTATTATTAAAGCTGTTGGGATTCTATTCTGCTTTTCAGCCAGCTTTCAGTTATTGTACTAAAAGAAGCTCTGCAGGGCCAAAGGTCTTCCAGACCTGTGTTTTTCCTTGTCCATCTCCTGATGCTTCCAGTGTGATATTTTTGTAGCAAATCGTTCAGATGCAAATATTTGAGGACTAAGTAAGGAACTGCTACTGCTAGATCTGAAGATATGCAATGGTTCTAAGTGCTTTCTGTTTATACATTCTAAAAGCCTTGTCCTTGCTATTGTCTCTGTTGTTATCCTTGTGTTTTCTCCAACAAGTAGAACCTGTGGTTGATGTGAGATGCCAGGAGGTGGCTGAGGGGAGGAGTTTTGTCAGGGGTGTCCTTGGGGCTGATCCTGGTTTGTCAGGCTGTTTTCTGCTGCAGTTTGTGTGCACAGGGACTGTCAGTGTTGTGGGGAAACCAGGCTGCACTGGGCTCACCTTCAGGGTCTGTGTTTCCAGAGTTGGCACCCCCTTTTGTTCCAGCTTTGCCCACAAAGAGGGTGATGAATTTCAGCCCCATCTCTTTGGAGTCCTTGGCCAGGCTCTCAGTGACAGAATTCAAACATTTTCTGAGTCAGGCATTCAGGTTTACTTGGAAAATTAACACCAGGATGTGGGAGATTTGTTTACTAGACACAGTTGAGCTGGATGGACAACAGAGATCTGTCCTCTCTGGCTCTGTGTCTGGAGGAGTTGGTAGGACAAAGGAGACTATTGAGTTGTCCTGCCTATGGAAGTTGCTTCTTGTTTGTCCTCATCCTCACTTCTTGGATTTTAAAGTCCTGCAGGCAATGTTTTATGCAGTTCTTAGAGCAAACAGCCACCACTTTGAAGATGTGTGGTGGACTCTGCCACAACTTGCAGGTAGTTTAGTAAACCCTGAGCTCAGTAAGAACTGTAGCTCTGTGCTTTGTGTTTTCTTTCTGCCCTAAGCAGTTACTGCACATCAGTTTGAGCTCCAGTTTAAGCAGTGGTTTGTGCCATGTGCAGTGTACACAGTGTGAGATGACCATCAGAGGTGAATTGTGGCTTCTTGGCAGGGTTATTCCCTTCCCTGGCCTTGCCAGTGAGAACCTGGGCAGGTAACCCTTGTGTGAGGGGTCCGCTGGCCAAATTAGTTATCAGCAATTCAGAGGAAGGGTTAAAAAGCAATTAAATGCTAGTTGGGGATCTATAACTGAAAGTCCAGATCCTATTGCAAAGATGATGAAGGTTTGAGTGTGAGAGAGAAATCAGTTGTGCTCTCTTTGCATTGATTTCACCACAGTTCTGCTGGGCCCTTTTTCAGCAGATAAGAAATAGCTTAAACTGGATTATCAGCAAAGCAGGGAGTGAGCCTGGAAGTGGGATGTTTGCTCTGAGAGCATTTTGGCTGTGATTTTGGGAGGTTCCAAGGCACATGTTGGGCTGCTCCTGGGAAGGTTTACTTGGCACATCTCCAGTTTACCAGTAGAGTATCAGTGACAGGACTTGAGACAAAACGTGGAGTGCTGGTGATGGCCTGAGCCCCCCAGAAAGTGGGAAATTGCTGTAAAATCACAACTGCCTCATGTCTTCCTTCCTCCTTTCTTGGGCCCAAATTAAGCTTGTGCTTCTTCACACCTTGCATTTCTTCAGCACCTGGTGATGTTGGATCCTTTGGGGGCTCCTTTTGGGCCTGGCTCTGAGCTCATGTCCCTTTGTGCCTGGCTCTGGGCTGTTCCCCTTTGGGCTTAGCTTTGAGCTGTCCCCATTTGGGCCTGGCTCTGGGCTGTTCCCCTTTGGGCCTGGCTCTGGGCTGTCCCCCTTTGGGCCTGGCTCTGGGTCCTGCCCCTGGCTGACTGCCGTGCCTGTGTTGGTTCCCTGCAGGTGCAGCTGGAGAGGATCCGGCAGGCAGATTCCCTGGAGAGGATCCGTGCAATCCTGAACGACACAAAACTGACGGACATTAATCAGCTCCCTGAAACATGACACCCTGATGGGCTCCGAGGCTGCGGCTGGGGTTTTTAACTCATCTTTATAGCAACATTAATTATTATTTAACTCTAACCGAGAGAGCAGAAGACAACAGAGGGGAGCGATGACTTAAGTTTTGTTTCTAGAGGGGAAAAAGGTTTCGTACTGGGCAGGAAGAGAGCACAAGGGTGACTTGTAGTGTAGGAAGGAGAACTTTCTAATGGAAACACTAATGAGTGCAGTGTTTCGTGTTCCACTGAGTGGGATCAGTCCTTACATTCTGAAAAACTTCCCTCTTTCAGCCGACTTCGTAACCTAATATAGAGTTTTGGAACATATACCCCTGTCTTTCCCTCTGTTCTTTCCCCCACTACTGTGATCAAAGTAGCTGCTGGAAACTATTGTCCCTCCAAAACGTTGAAGAGCAAAGTGGTTGAAGTTTTTCTGTTTGAATAGTCAGTAACAGTATTCAGCTAGCAGAGAGAATGAGGTGTAGAGTATGCTGTATGAATATTTTATATTAAAATGACTTTATTAGCAGGACACTGGATATTGATCTTATTTCATAACTCAGTACTTTTTTTTAAAAACCATTGGCTCTGTGAAGAATCTGAATGCTGCTGAAATGTGGATATGAGTGAGCTGTGTATCTTCTGAACAGATAAATGCTAATCCAAAAGAAAAAGAACACTGTACTGAGAATTTAACTCCTTACCATTTTTCTGTTGAATTCAGATACAGAAAGAAAAGCACAAGAAATGCACTGGTTTGTAATCTCTTTTCACAAATGTCATTTAGAATATGGAGCTACAACCGGTTGTTTCTCATCTCCTAAAGCTGAGCAGTGCCTGGAATCCCTTCTCTGTGGAAAAGAAAAAACCAAAAAACCCAAACAGAAGAAAGCTGGTAAAATCTGTGCATGTCTGAGCATTGGCCCGAGGTGGTGCAGGTGTGCTCTGCCCTGGGGGTGGCCCAGGGTGTGAAGGCAGGAGCTCTCTGGGGAAGGTGCTGAGGGCAGTGCAGGGTGAAGCTGTTCTGACCCTCTGCCAGCCCAGCCTGGTGTCAGCACACAGGGAACCACTGCCAGACACTCCTGGGCAGGGCACAGATGTGCAGGAGCTGCAGCTTGGAGGGGGCAGTGCAGCTCTTGGCTGTCCTGCACTGCTCACGGGTGGCTCCTGTGCTGTCCCCTGTTCTGCTCCCAGGCAGTTAAATTGCACTGAGTAATGTGGCAGCAGAGGCAGGAAATTCTTGTGATCACTCAGTTGCCAGCTTTGGGTTTCTTGTTCTATAAATGTCCAGAGGTAACATGAGCATTCCTCCTCCCCCTCCTGCAGTGCTGGGGTTCCTGCACGCAGCTGGATGGATTCCTGAGCTGCTGCAGGTGTTGGTGATCCTGGTGGTACAAACCCAATTCCTGAACTTTACAACTCTGTTAAAAGGAGGCTGAAGGAGCAGATCCGGCTGTTCAAAACTTCTTCATTTTTCCTCCATTCCTTGGTGTTTTTTCTTCGCATACTTGGCCAGAGATCTGCTTTTCTTCATCACCTTCAAAAGTGACAGAAAATGCTCCAAACTGCAATGCACATGATTATATATTTTAAGTGCTTAGATCCTATTTTCAGCAGTGTATATCCTGCTACTGACATGAAGTCAGAACCAGTGGTTTTGAAGAGGAATGCCTTAAAAACAGCCAAAAAAGCATCATACAAGCTCAATTCCTTGCCACTCATTACAAGAATTAAAGCATTTTATTCACCCTAGCAATTAATTCCCTTCATAATCCTGACACCCAAAAGTAATTTTTCCCACCTTAGTAATGACTAACAGATGGCAGAGCTCTCCTGTCTAGAGATGACACTTCTGTCACATAAAGGTGACGTTGAAGCGTGGCTGGAGTCTTGCTTGGCTATTGCCAGATTAGGGATTTTTTATTCTTCCTCACTATTTGCTGAACTGTGGGTGACAGCAGCCATGTCCTGATGCATTAATCCAGGACCAGATATTTTCATTCAGTTTTCCAGTGGCTGGGTAGACTTTGGAGACAAAACTTACAGGCCTTTAGTAGGAGCTACAGAACAGAAAGGAAAGGTTTTTTCTCTGTTCCCACCCTCCCTTGCCAAAAAATAATGTGTAACAGGTTACAGGGTTAGTTCCTGTAACTGGGGACTGCTTCATCTGTGCAGGAGGTGTAAGGAAGCCTTTTGTATGGCAAAACTGCACCACATCCTGCACCCTCTTCAGCAAGCTGAGCGCTGTAGGAGCTGCTTCTTGAAGTCTTTCAGGGTAAAATATTTTTTGGTTATGTTTCTGGATGGTCCCAGTGCGAGAGAGCAGGGAAGGGGCTGTTCCCGGCCCTCCAGCACCCCTGGCTGCTCTCAGCAGCCCTGGCTGGGCTGGCTCAGAGCCTTTCAGGTGCTCCAGGGCTGGTGGCTTTTCCTTGGTGTGTTTTTATGGCTCCTGGGCACAGCTTTCCCCAGGTGTGGGGTGTCAGGACGAGGTCATGGCTGCAGCCTGGCAGGAAGGAGGCGAGTGGGGCAAGTGGTTTGGGCTCCTTGGTCGCCCCAGGGCCTGTGGAGCTGTTCCCAAAGGCAGAGCTGCAGGCCTGGGGGGTGTCTCTGTGTGCTTTTCCCTGTTTGTGAGCCAGGCACTGCACAAGTCCCTGAAGGAGCTTCCTTGGTGTGGAGAGGAGGGCAGGCAGTTCTTGCATGGATTTTCCTTTTCACCCCCGTTCCATCACGCACCCCAACACCTGTGCTCCTGTCTCAGTACCAGCTGTGACCATTTTTGTGTTGGAACACGAGTCACCCTTTTTCACCAGCTGCTGTCATGTCAGACTTAAACAATTCTGTTTGAAATTGGAACCCTGGCTGTTCACAGAAGTGGTGGGAGATGTGCTCCCTGCAACCTGCTGTCCCTCCGGGGGAAGGACAGCAAAGCTTCAGCAGCAGCAACTGAGCTGCTGCTGAACTCAAGGGGCCTTTAAAAGTAAAACAAGCAGCGTGTGCCAAATTTGCAGAGCAAATTTAAAAGACTGTAAATGTAGGAAAAGCTCTTGGTGTAGATACTCACTGGAGGATGGATTCTGGTATTGCTGCTCATGAACATGAGAAAACAGATGCTCTTCCTCCCAGTTCTGGGTGTTGTGGAGCGTGGCTGGGGCCGGGGTGGGTTCTCCCGTCTCGGGCAGTGTCACTGCTCAGCTGTGACAGGGGCTGAGCTGTTGTGGAGGCTGTAGCAGGGCCCAGGTGTTCTGTCTGCGTTCCTGTACCTGTAGTCCCAACCTGTACAAAGCGTTCTCGCAGCATGTCCGGCAGCCGGTCCCTCCCCAGCAGCGCAGTAACTCCTGTAACTCCTTCACACGCCCTTCCCCAGCGCAGGGGGAGGGACAACAATCACTTACTGTCCATAGAGTCTGTCCACAGCAGAGACTGAATCGGCCTTGGCATGGCAAGAAGGACTCAGAGCCATCTTTTGCAGAAGGAAACAGTGTTTGGAAGTCAATACTGCATTCCAGTGAGCCAAGCCATTGGTGTCCTGTGCAATCGTGGGTGTAGAATTCTGCTGTCTCCAGGATTCCAGTGTAACCATTTGTTAACTGTACTGAAGGTGTGTCCTTTATGGAGAAAGTGTTCCAAATTAAAAAAAGCTGCTGAAGTGTGTGTGTGCACGGCTCTGCTCTGTCTCCTCTGCCACAGCCTCCCCCACCAGGGAACCCCCGAGGGAGCAAGGGTGGGAGATTATCCCAGGATAACCCCAGGGAGCAGCAATCTTACCCTCTAATACCCTGACTATAAAACACCTGCAGCACATCCCCTTCCCATGACAAAAACAAAAACCACAGCATGTGAGGAGTCATATCAAAAGTACTTTATTTCACAATTCTTTACAAAATAATATGCAAAAGGTGTATTGTTCAACATACAAATGGTAAATATACAAGAGGAACAGCAGGGACAGGTGAAGCTCAGCCAGCCTCTGGCTGCAGGGGCCTCTCCAGGGGCACCTCAGAAGTTCATGTGGCTCCTGATGTCGTTGATCTGTTTCACCATCTCCCGGATGTGTTCTCCCCTTCAAGAAAAAGTAACCCGAGTCAAAAGCTGCACAGAACTCAGCAGGAAGGGAAACACTTGGGATGGTAGAAGCAGTGAATGGGAGCAGTGCCTCTCATCCCAGGCAGGACTGCAGACTGCCCTGGGATCCTGGGGCAAAAAGCACTTCCACCCATCTGCTCAGAGTGCTGCTCTGGGGAGCTGCATGTCTGTGCTTCAGCCCCCTCCCCCAGCATGGCTCCACTGACACCTGAGACAGCTGAACTGAACGAGGAGCCCAGCCTGCACTTACTCCTCCCTCAGGACAGCCTGGATGCACTTGCTCTGGTAGGCACTGAGGCTGATGCTGGGTTTGCGGGGGCTTCGCCCCTTCTCCATCTGTTTCTGTTGGTATTCCTTTTTCATTTTCACCTGGGAGTTGAGAAGGAAAGAGAAGGCCCCAGTCAGTGCTGGTCCTGCCTGCCACAGTAGAAGCTTGTTAATTACAGACTGCTGTGTTGTACTGCAATTAATTGGCTCTTTTTGGGTTCAAACCTGTCTGCTTTTGCACTTTCCACAAAGAGAAGAATTGTCCCTGCCAGGCTGAGGAAGAGGGAGCTCTCTGAGGGCTTACAGTGCTGTATTACCACCAAGGGCCCAAATTCCCTTTAGTACATTGCTGCTACCTAACACAAGTTCAGCATCACTTTGCTGGCAGGACTCCTCTGCCAGCACTGAGGGAGGAGCTGTCAGTAACCTCCCAGCCCGACATTCCTCCTCTCACCTGTCTGATAGCATTGCTCAGGTGCTGCAGCTGGTCATGGATTGTCTGCAGCTCCTTCTTCATATCTTTTTCAGTGTCAGATAGAACAGGAAGCTGAGAGTGGAAACTCCGAAGGACTTTCTTCATCCTTTGAAAGCAAGGAATGTCTTTGAGTGAGCTTCCCTGCTACTCAGCTCTGCTCAAACACCTGCAGCCTGGTGCTTTGGCCATGCTTGCCAAGTCTCAGCGGCTTCACTTTCCCCCTCCAGCTGGGCTCAGATGGCATTTCTGAGCATGGGCTGGCTCAGGCTGGGCCTGCAGACAGATCACACCAAGCCCCAAACACGGAATTTCAGAAGCCCACTCTTGTAACTAACCAGTGCAGCAGCTCCTGCCCACTGTTCTACCACTGCCTGCAAACTCTGTTTAACATCAGGTGGTGTGAGGTGAAACAGCCCCGTGTGCACTCACCTGTTCATGATGTCTTCCTGCTTCTCTTTGGCTTCCTCATACTTGTCAGCCAAGCGCTCGGCCATTTCCCGCAAACTTTTCCTTAAGGTGAGGGAGAAACAGTTCCTGACTTCAGCTCCTCACACAGGACAAGCCAGGGTGTGGGAGCAGGACACGGGAGCTGAAGAAGGCAGCTGGGGCAGGGAGCAAACCTGCAGGCTTCACTGTGGCTGGGAATGCCTTCACATATCACCTGCTCCACACAGGGCCGTGTCCAAACCACCACCACAGGTGCATCATTCCTGAGGTTTGATTTGATAAAGGAGAAGGTTCTACTCACCTCTCCTCTCGACAGTAATTCAGATCCTCCAGTTGTTTCTTTTTCTGTCCCCACAGCAGCTTCACTCTGAAGCAAACACATACCAAAAAAACAAAAAAAAACAAACCACTTGCAGTGAAGTGAATCAGGATTTACACCATAGAGAAAATGCTGGGAGTGGGAAGAACTAATGACACTGAAAAAGGGGCAGTGGTGAGAAACTCCCATTTTGTTCTAATGGTATATTGTAAATAACTGACTATTATTTGAAGCAGCAGAGACTTAAGGTAATTTTCCTTTGTCAGGATTAGTGCTGAGGACAGATTTCCTGCCACCCACAGGCCCAGGCAGGCAGACAACACCACAAGAAAAGTATTTATCTGTGTGTATGTTTACCATTTTTTCTTCCTCTATAAGCCACTACAGAGATCAGCTATTAAACTCCCCCCTGCTTTTCCTGATAACTCAGTTTTAAGTTCTGTTATTCATTATTAGTTTTACAATTAGTACATTCACTCATTCACAAAGATTAGACCCACAGAGCAGGGTGAGTGCTCAGTATTTAGTGCTGCTCTGTCACAGAGACATTGGCCAGCAAATTTTTAGGAGAGTTCTGCATTACCTTTGCTGAATTTCCTCTTTTGCCAGGTCCTGTTTCAGTATATATTCCTCTCTGAACACCTGGGTGGCTCTGCTGAGGAGCTGAAGGCATTCTTCAGGGGGAGGAGCAGCATCTTTATCTGCAGATCTGAAGATTGAGATTTTTGCCATCTTACTAATACGTTCCTTTGAAAGGCTGAACCACTTCCAGTGTTTATGGTAAAGATCAGGGAGAGGTCTGTTATGAAATCAGGGATTACAATGAAATCCCTTTGCTAAAAATCTTTTTTTTTTTACATGAGGAAATCCCACGGTAGCTTAAGGTACTCCAAACCCAATGAGGCAAGCAATGAGAACCTCATCAGCTGAAGGCAGCCCTGCTTTGAGCAGGACACCGGAGCCAGGTGATCCCCTCCCAGCCTGCACCATCACTGGATGCCATCCCCACAGGGACGTGTGTCAGCGGGCAGTGCAGAGCTGTGCCCCAGCACTGCCATGCCCAAGGCTGCGTGCTGTTCAATAGGTCTGGGCAACACCCACTGTTCCCAAGTGTTCCCTCTCCAGGTGCCCCAGGAAAACTCGTTTTGCTCACTTGAGGTGCAGGGGGTTGGCAGAGCTGCGCTGCAGGATGCCCTGGATGTGCTTCTCGAAGGAATGCTCCGACTCGGCCATGATGCGCAGCGGGGACACGGCCAGGTCCTGGTCCTCTCTGGTGCACAGCAGGGGAGGGGAGGCAGGATGGACAGTGCTTCTGCACACAGCAGCACAAGGAGAACACAGTCAGACCACTCACACTGACACCAGCCCAGTTCCTGCAAGCCAGGAACTCCTCCCCTGTGCAGCTCCTGTGTTGCTGCAGGGGGTTCTGAAAGCAGCTGCTTCAGTTACGTGGTAACTCCAGCCCTAGCAGGGCAGGTAAAGCTCACATCCCCCACACCTGTTTGGCCATGGCTCAAACTAGCAAGAATCATAAATATCCTTTGGCTTAAGCAGAAGAAAGTTCCAGAACAAGGCAGGCAGGCACTGCAACAGCAGCATGACCTCCACAAAGCACTCTGCCCGGTCACTGCCCACCTGTGTGGAAACAGTGAAATAAATAAAAGGTCTATAGGAGAACCTGATGTTAACATTGGCTCTGCTGATGGTACCTGTCCTACCTTAAACAGCGTCCTGCAAAAAACAAGCTGAAAATAGTGTCACCCCCTCAAGGTGTTCATTTCATTGTGCAAATACACATTTACACCACTCTGTATCTTTGCCACCACCTCCAAAGAAAGTAACTGGAAGCACAAACAAAAATCCTGCTTCTTTTTTTCCCTTTCAGGCACACATAACTTCAGCAGCCCATTTAGAATAGCCACACTACTGAAAAACATCAATAATGCCATCAAGAACATCTTCTTTGTCCTAAAACTCACTGTAAGTGACCTGATTAATTATATCCCCTACAAACACCTCATCAGCAGAAGGTAACTGCTACAGTAACACTTCAGTGCTCAGCCAGAGAGTGATCAGAAAGCAAAACTTCTCTGTGTGTCCTAAGAGGTGCAGAAGCCTGGGGTGAAACAACCAAAGAGTAATTGAAAAATAGGAATATCCTTTTTTGGTCCTGTATTTGTTTTGGTTTAGGGTAAATTTGGAAAAGACCTTTTAAAAGGGTTCTTTTAGGAAGTAGATTTAATCGGCTTTTTTTTATTATTGGTTCGGGAAAGATTATTTTTTGGAGAAAAAGTGGGAAAACTTGTTTATTAAATAAGTAAAATTAAATAATATTAAATAATAAAATTTTTTGCTACTTTAAGAGAGAGACAAATTTAGAAAATTTTCTTGGGTTGCAGTTTGGCTCACTTAGTCTCTTATTAGTTTTTCTGGCACTGGAAATGTTACAGCCTAGGCCCGGCCCGCTGGGCCACAGGTGCGAGCTGCTGTTGTTTTCTTGGTGTTTAGTTTAGAGCAGGTCTAGAGAAAAGGAAAAGCCACAGTCCAGGGAACTTCTTCGCCTCAGCTAGTTAAAACTAATGAGAAAAGTAAAGGAGAGCTCTGTTTTGCTGTTTGTCTGCCAACAGTCTAGGAGCAGGAATGTGGAGGAGTGAGTGCAGTTCTTGAAAACAAACTCTGTGCTTCTCTTGCCCCCTTTCACTTTTAGAACAAGTCTTAAAGGTGTAGAACTTATTATTTAACATAAATAGGGCAGACAATTGGGGATAAAGGCATCATATAGTTAACTTAGGACAGGTCCTTTCCATGCAGTCATGGACTTCAACTGAGAACCACATACAAGAGAGGCCTTGTAATGCACTCATAGCTGTTGGTGATGCAAATCATTGTGGGCCCCAGGACGTCAGACACGATCCAAAATCCTCTAATTGGAGCAGGCTGCCTGAAGGGAAGAACACAAAAATTACCCAGTCAGGAAAGTTCTTTGTTGCTGAAGTTGTGCATGTTCACTCTTTTGGAAATGCTCCCACGTCAGGTAAATGGTGGTGAAAATTTC